AAAATTAAAAAATAAAAATCTTCACCTGAAGACGGAAGCTTGTGTTGCCTCCGAAACGTCGTGATTTGATTTTTTTTTACTTTTATTAATTACTAGCTGTACTACCCGGCTTCGCCCGGGACTTGTATCTACCACGGCCGGCCGCCTTTGTCTCCCCAGTGGCGATGTTAATACGCTACAGTAGTTAAGTTACTCGTTTGAGGCAGAGTCGACCTAGGGGAGGTTCAAATAATCGTCACCGGTGGTGGCCGTGAGCGGGAATCGAACTGGGTTTGCCGGGTTGGTAGCGCAGCGTAGCGTTAAGCACTACACCCACCGCTCCTCACACACCACACACGCACAGACACACACACAGACACACACACAGACACACGCAGACACACACAGACAGAAACACACACACAGACAGCACGCTAACCACTACACTACCGCTCCCCACACACCACACACGCACACACACAGACACACACACAGACACACACACAGACACACACACACAGACACACACACACAGACACAGGCAGCACGCTAAGCACTACACTACCGTTCCCCCTACACAACACACGCGCGCGCGTCCATAGGTACACATACACGCGCTTGCTGCAGACACACACGACTTTCAGGGTGCATACGGCAGTAAACGACTGAAATAATAAAGCGGCAATGCTGTGTAAGGAACGCCTTAGACCCGCATTATACATTTGTGTAATGCGAGCGTAAACACACAAACACACACAAACACATACACAATACACACACACATACATGCAGACACACAGACAGACACATAACACACATACATACACACACATACAAACACAGAAACACATACACACACATACATAGACACACACATACATACACACAAACACATCCACAGACGTACATACACACATACATACAGGCACGCAGACATACACATAAACACATACAAAAAAACCCACATACATACACACACACATACATACACACAAATACATGCACACACATACATACACAATTGCATACAGACACACAGACATACACATAAACACATACACACATACACATGACCCGGCTTCGCCCGGGACTTGGATCCACCACGGCGGCAAAACCGACATACATACACACACAGACATACACACAAACACATACACACACATACATACACACATGCATACAGACACACAGACATACACATAAACACATACACATGACCCGGCTTCGCCCGGGACTTGGATCCACCACGGCGGCAAAACCGACATACATACACACACAGACATACACACAAACACATACACACACATACATACACACATGCATACAGACACACAGACATACACATAAACACATACACATGACCCGGCTTCGCCCGGGACTTGGATCTACCACGCCCAGCCGCCTTTGTCTCCCAAGTGCCGATGTTAATACGCCACACCAGTTACTCGTTTGAGGCTGAGTGGACCTAGGGGAGGTTCAAATAATCGTCACCGGTGGTGGCCGTGAGCGGGAATGGAACTGGGTTCGCCGGGTTGGTAGCGCAGCGTAGCGTTAAGCACTACACCCACCGCTCCTCACACACCACACACGCACAGACACACACACAGACACACGCAGACACACACAGACAGACACAGACAGACACACACACACACAGACACAGACAGCACGCTAAGCACTACACTACCGTTCCCCCTACACAACACACGCGCGCGCGTCCATAGGTACACATACACGCGCTTGCTGCAGACACACACGACTTTCAGGGTGCGTAAGGCAGTAAACGACTGAAATAATAAAGCGGCAATGCTGTGCGAGGAACGCCTTAGACCAGCAACACATTTGTGTAATGCGAGCGTAAACACACAAACACATACAACATACACACACATACACACAAACACATACACACAGACATACACATACACACAAACACACACATACATGCACACAAACACATACACAATACACACACACATACATGCAGACACAGACACATAACACACATACATACACACACATACACACACATACATAGACACACACATACATAGACATACACACAAACACATGCACACACGTACATACACACATACATAGAGACACGCAGACATACACATAAAGACATAAAAAGAAAACCCACATACATACACACACACATACACACAAACACATACATACACATACATACACACATACATAGAGACACACAGACATACACATAAACACAAACACACATACACATGACCCGGCTTCGCCCGGGACTTGGATCCACGATGCCCCGCCGCCTTTGTCTCCCCAGTGACGATGTTCACACACGACAGCAGTTACGCTTTTGAGGCTGAGTGGACCTAGGGGAGGGCCAGGTCCGTTTCAAATAATCGTCAGCGGTGGTGGGCGTGAGTTGGAATCGAACTGGGGTCGCTCAAGCAGCTTAATGACTGTTTGTACAAAGAACATATAAAGAATCGATTATAATAACCAGGCAAGAGTCCACATTATAGACTGCCAGTACACGCACTCAGCTTCATAAGCAGGCTAGAGTGTACATGATAGAGTGGCAGTACGCTCACCGAGCTTAATAAGCAGGCTACAGTGTACATGATAGACTGGCAGTACGCTCACCCAGCTTAATGAGTATTTGTACAGTGAACATTAAAGTAATCGATTGTTGGCGCGTTGGGTTTAAAAGTAATATTAATAGCACACATTGTGGTGGGGGTGTAGTGAAGAGTAGGAAAAACTTTGATGAATTTACCTCAGAGTGGCGTGGTGGGTGTCGAGGCCTAGTAGCGTGCAAAGCCTGCGGCCTCGCCTAAAATTGTCGGCTTGGAAGAGGCAGGGTACGGGTGGCGTTCCTTCCCTCCCCCCCTAGCGCTCCAACAATACTGTGTAATGGCTATTATTTAATTAAATACGGAGCTTATGAAAGTGGCGAAGGCGTGGCTAGCCGTTGGCAGGGGCAACCGCCGTCCAATGAAACTGCAGCCCTTGGCGAAGGCGTGGCTAGCCGTTGCCAGGTCCAATGAAAGCGGCGAAGGCGTGGCTAGCCGTTGCCAGGGGCAACCGCCGTCCAATGAAAGTGCGTATGGGCCAAAGTCCACACACACACACACAGACAGACAGACATGAACGATTTTATATATATAGATAATTTTTACCTACGTGACTTTTCCGGAAAAAAACCTAAGAATATGAATCCTTGCAGTCACGAAAGCTTCAAATCTAGAATTAATACGGGCAACAACCAAAACATCGTCTATTTGTTTGTGTTCCTCTCCCTTGCGATGGCACTTTGTAGGATGAACGTTAAGATGTATAAGGGGCACGGGGTGACCAATAAGGTCTGAATTTGTCTGTAATAAGGTAGGGGCACTGATACGTGGTTGACAGGTGTGGATCTTGGTGGTGTACTTTGTAAATAGAGTTTTCCATTCAGAGTAAAGGTTATGCAATGCACACTGGACTTTGGTTATATGTATGTGTACAGTATGTTGAACTTTATTGGCACCGTACGTAGCCAACCGCGCTAATCGGAGATGCGGGGGGAAGGATAACAAACTAAATACAAATACGAGTATTTAACAACCGTAGCATTTTCAGAATAATGATTAAAAGAAAACTCTCATGTACGTCTCCTACATACATGAAGATATCACACGAGCCGAGCATGTGAAGGCAACACTTGATTCAAACGTGCCTTGAAGGGTAGCGTTTATCTCTACAACAGTTATCAAGAGACACCAAATTATCCCCCCCCCCACCCCATTATCAGCCTATCCAAAAAAAACACTCATTTTACGACACGTTTTCCAAATTTCTCACAGAACAGGGGCCGCCCATAAATGACGTCACGCACCTAGGGGGGGGGAGGGGAGTCAGACATTTGTGGCGATGTGTGACGAGGGGGGGAGGGGGGTGTTTGAGAAATGTGACTTCACATCAAAATGCGCAACTTTAAATGAATATTAATTAAATTAAATTGTTATACACTAATTTTGATACATTTTCATTATTAACTATTTGATTATTTAAATGTACTAAAGTCACCTTTTATTTATTCCATTAAGGAGCATTTTGCTTCTCTATGGGAGAATGGAGAAGCATACATTTTGATTTTTTTTATTATTGTTAATAAACATTTTGATTCTAATGATTGTACCAGAGCTTTTCATTCTGTGAAATGAATGTGATTGTTATTATTGTACTCTCCATTTTGCTTCGTTCTACTACAAAGTTTAAAGTATTTTTCTATAGTTATAATTACTTTTAATATTTTATAATTATAAGAGAATTTCAATATAATATTCTGAACATCTGCAGTTTTAGTTAGACGTTGAATATTTTCAAGTGAATTTTAGGCTAAATTTCAGCTTTCCAACGCCTCCTTTTTAATACATGTTTTCTCCTACAACATCTGAGTGCAGCGCCACATTAAATTAAAAAATCGGCCAAAAGCGCATGACGTCATTTATGGACGGCACCACAATAAAGGATTTAGGCCTAAATTAGGCTCCTTTAGGTTGACTGAGCCTTAAATGAGTAGCTGGTGCTGTGTGTAAACATCGAGCACTGGGAGAGACAAAGGCGGTCGGACGTGGTCCCGGCCACCCGCCCCTTCGTGTGCCTTGCCGGCCTTCATAGGTGCTCGCAAACAACACTTGTACCAAAGTCGAATTAAGCTATACGGGAGCTCTTTGTCTTTGTGTTTGTGGGTGGAGGGGGGAGGGAGCGGTGGCGCAGTGGTTAACGCACCGCACGACGAACCCAAGTTCAAATCCGGCTCACGGCCAACATCGGTGACGAATATCTTAAACCGCTCAATGGGCATCCCCTAGGTCGACTCAGCCTCAAACGAGTAACCCGGTGCGGCATGTCAACAACAACAAACAACACGCGCTGGGTGAGACACGTGGTGCTGTCCAAACGCACGTGGTGCTACGTCGATGGCAGCTGTCACTGCTGAGAAGCTGACGTCACTGTTGAGCGTGACGCGCTTTCCGGTAAAGCGTGGAGGGGAATACCCCCGACCCCCCTCCTTCATATCGGCTTCATTAGAACGCGCGTTCGCGTTCGACTTCACTTTCCTGGTTTTTCTCTCACGCAACGCTGCTCTTCTCGAGGGTAAGTTTTCAACCGGCATCGTATATTTATTTGTGTGTTGCCATCATCATCATCACCAGCCAGCCAGCCATGGGCATGCTTAATTTACTACTGGATAGAGTGCCTCCGACCAGCAACCAACCACCACCACCGCGCTAAACCAAATACCATTCTCGCGAGCGACGCTGCCACGCAACTAAGTCACCCACGCAGCCCCAGCATCAGCCACCACCACCACTCTCTCTGGTTTCATCGTTCCATCTCCGTGCGCTCACTGTGTGTTGCTCCTGTGCCTGGTTGCCACGAGCGCGCCTCTTAAAGCCCACCGGACATAAACATTGCAACATCGTTGTTGTGTGTGTGTGTGAGTGTGTTCAGTTGTCCTTATCCACCGCACCTCCGATTAGCACGGTTGGATACGTACGTTCAACCTCCATGCATAATCACTTATATTTGTGTAATAAGTAGCGTTAAGGCACGATCTAAGGCTCATTGAACCATGCCTTATGGGATAATCCGGATTATAAGACGCACTTGTGCCCGCATGTATCTTAAAACAAAAGTTGGGGGGGGGGGGGTGCGTGCGTCTTATAATCCGGTGTGTGAGAGACCAGATTTTGTGTAACTTGATTGACACGAGGTTCAGGCTGCGTCTTCTAATCCGGGGAATCGAGGAATCACAAACCAGCATTGACGACGGGAGGATATAACCTTAAATTCCCGAACTCAGCGACTAACAAATAGAGGTTTTTATGTTGTTTGTTATGCATTGTGTGTACTGTGTGTCTGTGTTTAAGTGTGATATTGTAGTGTTGCAGGGAGCGGTTACCGCGCTGCGCTACGAACCCGGCGACCCGGTTTCGAATCCCACTTAAAGGCCAACACCGGTGACGAATATCTGAACCGGTCCTGGGTTTCCTCTCCTAGGTCGACTCAGCCTCAAATGAGTACTTGGTGCGGTGTGCACTGGGGAGACAAAGGCCGCCGGGCGTGGTGCTGGTCACCCATCCCATCTTGTGCAGTGTCGGCCTTCATAGGTGTTCGCTAACAGCACTTGCCCCAGCAATTTCTTGAGGCTATACGGGGGATCTTTGTCTTTTTGTTCTAGTGTATAAGGGTGACATCGTGTTTAAGCGCGATGTTATAGCGCTATAATATAGCCGAACCTTGTGTTGGGGGGTACTGTGTCGTGTTTAATAATAGTTGGGTCTGCGCGTGTACAGTCCCAGCTCTTTAAATAAAACTTGGCCACGACACACATTGGCACGACCGTTTGCTGGGCAGTGTTATTATTTTCCAGTGTGAGTTTTCTACTGAACTGACACACGAAGAGATCACCTTACGATTGAATACACAGTGTGTACACGCCACAATTGCCCGATTTGCCCGAGTAGAATTTCCATTGCTGTACAACAGCGTCTTAATAAAACACGTGAAAGAGTGCGAGACGGGTATGAAGGCGGCTACGTGTGTACGGTGATTACAGTACCGTGTGTTTTTTTTAGCGAAGAGGCGTGGGGAGTAGAGGAAGGTCTTGAGTCTGGGACCTAAACAAGGGGCCAGGGAGTCGACAACATGGGTGGGGTGTGGGGAAACTTCCATATTCAGGAGGCAACGGATGAGAAGCCACACCTGTCAACCTTATTACAGACCAATTCAGACCTTATTGGTCACCCCGTGCCCATTATAATTCTCAACGTTCATCCTACAAAGTCCCATCACAAGGGGGAAGCACAAACAAATTGACAAAAAAATGTTGTTTTGCCGTATTGAAACGAATTTACGCCGTATAGACCTCAAAACCACATTTCCCTGTACAAGAATACGGGGTAAACCGTATGGGTTCACTTCAGTGCCGGATTAAGTTAGTGTGGGGCCTGTAACATATGTTATAAAGGGGTCCTAAATAAAAAAACCACATACATATTAAACCACTAATTTGTCACTTGCATAGTAAAGTAATTGTATTTTTTCATTTGCTATACAGCCCGATAATACGACAAATCGCTAACCTTAAACACCCAGTCGTTCATAAAAGTTGAAGGCGGTATAGTACTATAGTAATAGAGCAAGTGCAGAATCACTGAACCTGAATTAATAGCTTGAAATTATTTAGCGCGGGGCCCTTGAAAGTGTGGGGCCCGTAGCTACATATGTAGCTACTTGTGCTACTAGGATCATCCGGCACTGGTTGACAGGTACAGAGAAGGGACCTCCCCTCCCTCCCTCGCCACAAAGCAGACACACGTCGTCAGCTTTTGGGCATTGTGCCTCTGTTACCGGGTCCAGGTCAGCATTCTAAACAATGTTACTTGCTGCCCAATTGCATTCCAGTTACGCTCGTTGGCATCACGTGCCGCGAGGTGAAGAAATGTCCATTCGGAACTCTCACAGAAAGCTGTGTACCTACGCTGTCAGTTTAACGAGTCGGCTTTCGCGACCAATATTATTCATAAATAAAGGCGGGGTTTTTTTTGTGGGCGAGTTCGTGTAAATATAAACGTGTCGATAAAACCCGCCACCACCCGACACAGCCAATTAGTAAGGTTTGTCACGTAAACAAAACGTGCCAATTCGTTACACGAACTCGCCCACAAAAAAAGAGAGTAACCAATTCTGGCTATCGCCTGACAAAGCTGGTTGTAACCACCAGCGAAACGTCGTACTCTAGTTGTAAACGTTTTGGGTTTGCATGTTTTCCCCATGGTCGCGTGGATTTTTCTCCGGGTCCTCCGGTTTTCCCCTCCACATTTAGAATCAACGTGCGTTTCGCGTTTTCGGCGGATATAAATGTCCACGTGATAAGCCACTTCGTGGACATTATTTGTGGCCAGGTCGCTTCTGAAAAAGTGCTCAGCGAACCTTGCCCGGCAAAATAAAAAAAATCTGAGTAATAGTAACCTTTGAATATCACGTATGAACACGTTATTCAAGGGTGTAATGTGAGACGTTTTGAGAAACCATCGCTGACTTTGAACCTTACATAAACTTTAACAGTTAAAGTGGTGAGAACCCCACCCAATGCTATCCACCCAGCTACACTCCAGCCGAAAGTGTGCCGTCGGAGCATGCAACTGCTTTAACAAAATACAACACTGTGGGTTTTTTTAACTCCACGATTCTAATAATCCTCTATTCAGCTCGGAGCGATGCAAGTGGGTGCTCTAAGATTCGCTTTTCAAGTCGATGAATGCTGGTTGGGGTGTATTATTAACTTCACAATAACTGTATGCGTGTGTGTGTTTCATGTGCTGCTGGTTTGTTAGCATGGAGTACCCGGACATGATGGAGTGTCCCATTTGTGGGCGGTTGTTTAAGCACTGGGAAATACAATTCCACTCTTCCACTTGCCAGAACTTTTCATCTCCATCGCAGTGCAGCGATGATACGGAGTGGAAAGACCGCGAGAAAGAGGTGAGTTTAAAACAATTGTGTTAGCTCATGAAAAAGTTGTACGAGTGAGAATTCAAACTGTGATTCTTTATCACCGTTAGCCATTGCCTATCCACTGCTGGATAAAGGCCTCCGAACGCCGTCTCTATCCCTTCATGGTCCTGTGTGGCTACAGTTGATCTTCTGGACATGAACATTTACCATCACTCCACGGTGGTTGCCCTCTGTGGTGCATTCTCTCCGTTGGCTACCGTTCCATCACTTTTGCCCATGAGCCATAGTCCTGGCTATGTGCATCACCTGAGGCCACTTACTCTTCTGTGCGCCATATTACCACACATTCGGTGCTTGCCAACAGCACGAGCTGTTTGCCACCTGCAAAGGCCCAAATTGTAATGACAAGGACATGGTCTCACTTGGTGCGTGCACGTACAAGCAGAAATATGTTTACACAACATTAGTACACTCTTTGTGAATATATGAAAAGCCTGTGTTGAGTTTAACAAATAGGCTTTCGCAACCAATGTTATTCATTATTTTTCTTTTTTTGGGTCAGATCGCTGTGTGAGTAAAATCTGTGTCGTAAACCCTCCTCCACCCGACACAGCAAATTAATAAAGTTGTCACGTGATGAACAAACGTATCTATGGGACTTTTCCAGTATCAAAATCATGAAAAAAAAATATGCCCAGTATCAAAATTCTGAAAAAATAAGAAAACAAAAATTCCCATAGATATAACTGCTCAAGCCGAGATATCAAGCTTGATACTTGAATTATTTTGTACTGTTCGCCTTTTTGTGTCCCCTGGCCTATCACTCATAAGACAAGGCCGTACAGAATTCTGCCTGGTGTAGGTCAATTCGTTTCAAAGACAATGCATATATTATTAGAGCATGTTTCTTTGGTATGTTTCGACACAAGCATGTGTGGTGAATGCAGACGTGATGCCTTGTTATATGTATCTATTTGGTGTTTCAAAATCTAAACACCTGTTTGATTGCCAGAAAGTGTAAAGCCTATTTCTTATTTTTTCATCATGAACAAGCGTACCGATTTATCACTGGCTTCAGCAGCACCACTCACTTGTTGGAGAACAAGTCACAACACATAGTAGTAGGTTTTTATCCTTTAAACTGGTACAAAAACTGACACCTTTATACAAGGCATCATGTTTGCAATAACCACAACACAAGCAGTCAAAATGCAAACAAAAAGAAACAACTCTGATAATGATAATGATATGCACTGTCCTTGAAGTTGATTGGTCCACACCCGAGACAGCTTTTCTTAGAGCCTAGTCTCCATTTTTTTTTAGTTGTATGCCTTTTGGCGTCATCTGGTCCAACACCACTGGTAAAGGAGATGTCTCAAAGTCACAACACTTTAACAATTGAGTACGGGCGTTCCGCTGGTAATTCCAGCCAGCATCATTAGGCAGTTTTCAAATATCTCAAACTGCCCTCCAGTTTAGGGACTTTCAAATGCGTAATTAAGGAATGTCGCAATGTGACGCTCATGCTCCTCGAAACGATGTGCACATGTGCAGTCAAAGCAGGGTGCGACAAAGCGTCACGAAGATGAAAAAGAAGAGATACCAAAACGCGTCTCTTTCGACGACCCAGGTATTGAAATTCCTTCGTGCTCTACGAAATAAACTGAGTTTAAAATAAGATGTCGGGTAAATAACTCGGCTTTTTTTCTATGTTATATAGAAATGTATATGTTGAGTAACTTTTGCCATTTTCTAAAACAGAATTGTGTTTTCTTGGTTCTTTCGGTAAAGTCACGTAGAAGGAAGATAATAAAATAATAAAAAAACATAATAAAATAATTTTCACGACGTTTCGGCCACAACGCAAGCAGCCGTCTTCAGGTGGAGAACAGGTCTGACTTTACCGAAAGAACCAAGAAGATGAATCCCTGCAGTCACGAAAGCTTTAAATCAGAATTGTGTCTCTTTAGCAGCTGCTTATTGACATCGTGTTTTTTATGTAATTAACGTGTTGGGGTTGTTTTCGTTTAGAAGTGTCCTGATTTTGACTGTGATTGGATGTACTCCATCACGGGTCGATTCTTTTCACATAACACCCTAAACACATTCATTTGAGAAAATACAAAGGACATGTCAGTGTCTATCCTATTCACGAGCAGTCTACGGTATTTGGAAAGACTCATATACTTGTTTTGCATGCTATTGATTTTCTAAAACACTTTAACTATAATAAGTGACACTTGTTTGTATAAAAATAAAACGCTCATTGTCAACGCCGTAGAGACACTGTGTTTTCTTGGAATGATAGCTCCCTATTGTATTTTCATTTTAACGAGTACACTTCTACATACTGTACAATATACACAACTGGGTGATGCTGTGAACAACATTGCGGTTGGAAGGTTACGAGTTTAAATCCAGATTTGGGGTCAATTTAACGCATTATTTATCTGACGGTTAATAAAATGAACAGCATTGGAGAGACATTCCAGCCATGTTAGTGTGGAATTTCTCCCACAACACTTCATAGTAAGTAGAACATTTACACTACTCGCAAATCAGCCTCAATGGGATGAAGCCACATTGCAGCATGTGCCCACACTCTGCTGTGGAACTTCTGCAGGTGATACTCACATGTGAAGCATAGCATCTGCACAGAGGGCAGTGCAGCAAATGCGACTGTTGTCCAAAATCAAGGTTTTTTGGGTTGGATCTCGTAAATGTAAATGTGTCGTTAACTCGCCACCACCCGACACAGCCAATTAGTAAGATTTGATAATTGGTTTTTTACCCTTCTATCTGGCAACAAAACCAATTATCATATTTTTACTGGCAAATGAGGTCCCCTTAGTAAGATTTGTCACGTAAAAAAAACGTGATCATTAGTTAACACTTGGGTGTTGGAGAGTAAACCCACGAAATTAAAAATGTGAGTTCTACGTTTCGCTGGTGATTACAGCCAGCTTCATCAGGTGATGTTCCAGAATTGTGAAGAAGTCTTTCTGTTTCAGTCTTAAATAGAGCAAAGGTGATCTCGTTAACGTGAGCCTATCAGGTGCAAAGACCAGAGGGGAGTTAATTTAGTCATGTAAATTACGATAAATTATGTTAATCTGAGAATATGCAGGACCTATTAATGGTTGGGTTAGTCACAGTTAATCAACATTCCATTAATCAAAATACAGGGTGCTTCAAAGAAATGTTAACACTTATATGGGAATATCGTTTTTAATGGAAAATAACGGATACTACCCTGTAACATGATGACAAATGTATGTTAATAGCTTCAAAAATGCAGTCTTCACTTGTTCACCATCATCGTCAACACACGCCTGGAATCTTCTCCAAATGGTCTCCAGAGCCCGGAGGCACATTTATTGTGGTATCATTGCAAATTCTCAGAAGTGTTAACATTCTTTCGAAGCACCCTGTATATCCAACGTTAAATACTCCTACGTCGAAACGACCCCCCCCCCACCCTTCACCAACCCGCACTGACCTGTGGTGGTGAAGTATGGCCAAATAATGGCAACGACCCACACGGCGTGGAGAGGCCGTCACCCAACACTGGGTTGACGAAAGGGCTATATAGTAATTCTAGATTTGAAGCTTTCGTGACTGCAAGTATTCATATTCTTAGGTTTTTTCGGAAGCTTGTGTTGCCTCCGAAACGTCGTGATTTTTATTTTATTTTTATTTTACTTTTATTAATTTTAATTTTTTACCTACGTGACTTTACCGAAAAAAACCCAAGAATATAGCTATACAGTACTTTTATATTGCATCTGCACGTCGCAAAGACATTGCTGTGCAGATCATTTGTAAAGTAACAAAATGCATTTTTATATTCTCAAGACATTAATTATCAACAACGATTTTACAGAACGTGAAGATCACTTTGGCAAGATGGAATGGCACGCGGGGAGAGATGAAGGTGATAAGAAGGTAAGAACTTCACCCCAGCAGAGTTAACATCACCGACGATGACCACAACTATCGTTTAAACTCGCATCACATGTTCATACAGTTGTGTTAATCGATGGGATTCAGCTCCATTGATGGAACCACAAAGGGCTCTTATATTCCATCCGCTCATTTATCTCGGGTCCATTGGAGGGATCTGCAAGTTATCGCTAAATCATCCATGGTGCGGATTAGCCAAGCTTGCAAGGAAAAAAGAAATATCTTTACACGCGCGCGCTGCTTTAATTACAAGCTGCTCTTCACTCGTCGAGGGTCAGTGACTAGGCGCCCATGTGACCACGAAAACACTTCGGCAAGTGAACCGATTACTTTTTTAAAAAATCGATAAAAACAGACGGGGCATTCGATGTATTCATCCTGTTCTATATAGGTAAACAATACAATTTCACAGCCTAATCATTTGCATTGTCCATTTTATTTTATTTTATCTGGGCCACCTCTTTCCCCCTCTTCCCCGATTACCCCAAACAATCGACAGTTGAATACTCATACACAGGATCTGGTATCAGCGGGAGCGGTTCAATGTTTCACTGTCCACTCTCCGTCAGCAATGCTCTGTACGAAGTACAACAACTCATCATAGCCACGGTAGATTGTGTTGAACACAAACACATGAACAAACAGAGCGTCTGCCTCACCGTCACCGCCACCATCATCATCAACCATCAATCCGCTGCTGGATGAAGGCCTCCCAAAGCAATCGCCACGTCTCATGGTCCCACGATGCAAGAGTGCATCCAAGCACCTGCACATTTCGTTACATCATCTCTCTCCATGCTAGATCTCCTCTTGGGCATGATCCCTCACTTGGTTCACATTGTAAATTTTACATTTGGAAAAATCATATTTCAGTCCAACAGCCTGTATGTAGACCTATTAGACCAAAATACATATTCTGGCAGCATTTCTTTTAAGCTGCAAGACTCTTGGACTCTTGACTTTCTGAGAATCATCGACAGAGTTTGGCATATTAAACACAATGATTCAAGGTTAAGTGGATTGCTAGACAACAGCACTTGATGAAAATTATTCCTCGTAAAATTCAAGACCAATATGATTAATATTTTGTTTCCAGGCGAGAGCTGAGTTATGTTAACATCTGGTTATGCTGGATATATTCTCCAGTGAGACGTATAAAGTTGTCAAAAACGTACTTACACTTCAACATTCCTCCAATTTGGTGAAAAACCAAATCGACTGCCATACTGGCCCACGTGACAACTTGATTTGTCTCTGTCAGGTGGTGGAGGGTGATCGTTTAAAAAAACGACAGACCTACACAACGACCTCACCTAAAATAAACTAAGTACGAATCATAAGTTACAAAAAGCTGCTGAAAAACATTCTTCCATAAAGTACACAGGCTGATGGACTACAATATTATTTCATATTTACGAGGTAATAGTGGAGGCACTTAAACCTGTGGCAGTGTGAGCAATGGATGTACCTGTTTTAATACATAGACTTGTCTGCTTATTTATTAATTTATTGCCCACAATCCACTACGACCGAGCATCATAATAAGTTTTATAAAATTCACCGTTTTCCTCTGAATATACCCCCACAGTGTTGATGGAAATGCTCCTGCCTATTCTTTCGCGTATATACAGTACATGGAAAGCCCCCTTGTCAATTCACATCCAGCATTATTTTACCAGGTTAGTGAAGGCAGGGGGAACAGAGGCATGGTAGCATAGATGTACAGTACAACAATTAGCTTTTTTCTGCCCTGCTCGCTGCTGCCCACCACGTAACCCAGCATAAATTCTTCTTGGTTCTTTCGGTAAAGTCACGTAGAAGGGAAGTAATAAAATAATAAAAATAAAACATAATAAAATAATTCTCACGACGTTTCGGCCACAACGCAAGCAGCCGTCCTCAGGTGAAGACCAGGTCTGTCGAGGACGGCTGCTTGTGTTGTGGCCGAAACCTCGTGAGAATTATTTTATTATGTTTTATTTTTATTATTTTATTACTTCCCTTCTACGTGACTTTACCGAAAGAACCAAGAAGATGAATCCCTGCAGTCACGAAAGCTTTAAATTGAAATTTAACACGCAAGACAGTCGTACAGGCTCTTGGGGCGAATGCTTTGGCAAAGCTTATATTGGGGCTGGAATGTTGCACGAATGGTTGGTGTGGCCAATTCCACGGCCTGCTACATTTGTTTCCGCTGTTTTCACATCAAGAAGATGAATCCCTGCAGTCACGAAAGCTTTAAATCGAAATCCAGCATAAATTGTCACACAGGCTTCACACACTGCTGATGAGACTCATCAAGGCGAAGCACACGATTACCTGCTTCAGCAAATGCTGCCGGAAAACACAAGGCCCATAGGCCGTTGGTCATTAACACAATTTTATTTTGACACGGTGAAAAATACGCTTGTTTTTTCCATTTATTGTCTCTGTTAAGGTGTGTGTGTGTATGTGAGAGTGTTGTTGTGGGGAGCGGTAGTGTAGTGGTTAGCGCGCTGCGCTATGAACCCGGCGACACGAGTTTGATTCCCGCTCACGGACAACACCAGTGACGATTATCTGAACCGGTCCCGGGCCTCCCCTAGGTCGACTCAGCCTCAAATGAGTACCTGGTGCGGTGTGTAAAAATTGCCACTCGGGAGACAAAGGCGGCCGGGCGTGGTGCTGGCCACCCACACCCTCGTGTGCCGTGCCAGCCTTCATAGGTGCTCGCTAACAGCACTTGCCCCTACAGTCTGTTAAGGCTATATGGGGGATCTTTGACATTATCTTTGTTGTTTATCTGAACCAGTCTTGGACCTCTCTTAGGATGACGCTAGTTTCTGGCCACACCGTCTCCTTGTGTGCCATTCCGGCCTTCATGGGTGCTCGCTCATAGCACTCACGTTCCCCAACAGTCTGTGAAGGCTACATGTGGGAACATTCGTCTTTCTTCTGTGGCTGGTGGTTGTGGTTGTGGTGGCGGCCCTGATGTTAGCAATGTCCCTCCACTCTGGCAGGACCAAGCAGAGGGAGAGTTCGAGCCATGCCAGTCGTGTCCCGTGTGCTCCGACATGTTTCCGGAGGATTTCATCAATTTGCACGTCGATTACTGTTTGGAGAACAATGACGAAGCACAGCAACACGTGTCCAGGACTGACGTTCCCAATCTCGAGTCTTCACCCAATCAGCACTGTCAAGGTAATTCTTACCCTGCATGGACACAGCTGTAAAGGTACACAAGCAGTGACTTTAGCTAAACACATATTTGTGTCAGGGATGAGTTTTTAATTAAAATGTTGAATATTTTTTTATTCTTGATTTGAAGCTTTCGTGACTGCAGGAATCCATACTCTTTGGTTCTTTCGGTAAAGTCACGTAGTTAGGAATAAAATAAAATAAAACAAATCACGATGTTTCGATTGCAACACAAGCAATCTTCATCAGGTATGGAAAACCCCAGCCTCACGTCCTCTCTCCCCTTAGCCCCCCCCCTCTCCCCCTTGCCCCTCCCCCTTTCTTACCTATATAACCTCTTGCCACGGCAGCTCTTTCTCCCACTTCAGCAAATTTTTTCTGGTTGTGGTTTTCCCACCTGATGATGATTGCTTGTGTTGCAATCGAAACGTCGTGATTTGTTTTATTTTATTTCTAACTACGTGACTTTACCGAAAGAACCAAAGAGTAGATTTTTTTTATTTTCTGATGTTTGAGAACAATTTTGTTTATTAAGGTGCCGTGTCTTCCACGTGATAAGCCACTTCGTTGAGCTGTCATTTGTGGCCATGTCGCTTCTGAAAAATAGCTACATAGCTCAGTGGGCCTTACCTGGTAAAAAAAAAATGTTTTTAGTTTAACCTTATCCGATGCCACATTATGACACTTTTGGTCACAAAAGAGCAGGCGTGACATTGTGGGAGCGATGTCACTTGCATGTGTGTATGTTGAACTTCTTTCGCACCGTACGTAGCCAACCGTGCTAATCGGAGGTGAAATCACATTTTCGGATGAGTCCAAAGCCAAAAAAAATGTTGATCATCAGAAGTTATATATAAATATCGACTTTATATTTAGACCTTGTGGTTTCATTTGGAGTTTGGGGACACATCACTCATTTCTATAACATAGCTGCAACACAGCCTAGTGCATATCTGTCAACCCGTATGGTTTACGGCCGTTTCAATACAACACGTTTTTTTGTGTTTCTCCCTTGTGATGGGATGTTGTAGGATAAAAGTTGAGATTTGTAGGGGCACGGGGTGACCAATAAGGTCTGAATTTGTCTGTAATAAGCTCGGCACTAAGGTATGCTCGTAAGAATCAGGTCGTCTGTGATTTACACTCCCAGTTAAATGTATTCATTACATTCATCCTTGTTTCATCTGCACTCTCAATTTTTTTTCCATTTTAAGTCCGAATAACATCATGATATATTTCACATTGTTACGTAATGTATAGATATAAATTACCGTAGATCTTATTGTACACATTGTTGTCCTTCCCCCGCACCTCCGATTCGCACGGTTGGCTACGTGCAGTGCGAAAGAAGTTCAACAAACAAACATGGGCTTTTGTTTGCACGGGTAGCAACTGTGCTGCAACCTTGGCAACCTGATGTTGACTACCTGGTCACACCTCAAGTCCACGGCGAGTCGTATCCAAATCATCCTGTCCCTCCCCTAGGTCGACTCAGCCATAAACGAGTACCCGGCGTGTTAAAAATCAAGGGTGGACATAAATAATGTTGCCCACAACGCTCACTCGTATGCCGTGCCCGGCGGGCCTTAATGGGTGCTTGCTTCAAACGCTTCTCCCGAAAGTACTCAGAGAAGCTACATGAAGGATCTCTGTGTATTTAAAGTTCAAGTTCATTTATTAGGTATAGCCCTGTGAGCCATTCGGCTCTTGAATCGGGTGCAACCGCAACAAACAAAAAACCAAAACATGAACAAAAAAACATCTTAAAGTGAATATGTGACTAAGTGCAAACAGAAAATCCAAAAAAAGACAGCAAAATATTGAAGAAAAAAACACCGTACACCAACGCTGTGTGCAAAAAATCTCAGTGGGATGCAAGTCAAACAACCAACAACAACCACAAGACAACTTAGATTAAGGCCATCAGTCTAACTCTGTACTACAACAAACAAACATGGCTAAACCAATACACTTTTCGAAATCACCAAATAAAGCCATGAAACCAATGAAACAGTGCTCATAGGAACTGTGCAACTGTTTTTCCACAATGCAGTTGGACGACTGTAGCCTAGGCAGACAAGTAGGACAACCATCGTGGGTAGTGACAACCCAGTGAGCTCACGTCAGTATGCTTCCACGAGGTCAAGTCTAAATATTTTGTATACAAGTCAGTTGTTTTCTGCCTTGTGTTTTGTGATTGAATGCTCAGATGAATCGATGGAACGTCCTGAGGACGAGACCGATGATGTAAGTGAAACGGTGCTTTCTGTATTATAATTATAACAGTACAATGTTTAAATTGCATTATCCTTTGGTTAGTTATTTCAGAACCTACTGAGGTACAATAGCTGTTTTTTAATGAACAGCTGTGCACGTAATTAAAATTACTTTTAATTTAGTATTTTGTGATTTCATTGATGTTGATGATATTGTTGCTGGGGATGATGGCGGTGTTACTGATGATGATGGCGGTGTTGGTGATGATTATGATGGGGGTGATTATGGTGGTGTTGCTGGTGATGATGATAGTGGTGTTGGCGGTGTTGGTGGTGATGATAGTGGTATTTTTGGTGATGATGGCAGTGTTGCTGGTGATGATGGTGGTGCTGGCGATGATGGCGGTGTTGGTGGTGACAATGGAGCGAACACCAGTAACAATTATCTAAACCTGTCCTGGGCATCCTCTAGGTCGACTCAGCCTCAAATTAGTACCTGGTAAAATGTATAAACATCGCCAATGGAAGACAAAGGCAGCCGGGCGTGGTGTTGGCCACCCACCCCCTTGTGCACCGTTCTAGCCTTCATAGGTGCTCGTGAACAGCACTTGCCCCAACCGCCTGTTAAGGCTATATGGGGATCTTTGTATTTTGATGGTGCTGGTGGTCATATTGACAGTGACGGTGGTCGTGATGGTTTTAATAGTGGTCGTAACAATTTAATTGGTTTTGATGATGACAAACATGATGACGATGATCAGTGATCAATGTATTCTCCAGAATTTCGAAGATAAAGAAGAAAAGGACACAGAATCAGAGGACACAGAAGAAAAGCACCTGGAGGAGGCTGCATCGGAACAATTGAAGGGGCAGGATGAGGATGGAGAGGGGATCCCTTGTCCTCTATGCCAATACCGCTTCCCAGAAGATGTTCTACAAGATCATGCCGAAATGTGTGGGGAGCATGCAGACGTCATCTCCCAGTTCATCAGTAAGCCCCCACATTATGCACTCTATCATATCAGCATTCCACACCTACAGTGTCACCCACCACTCTGTCTCCTTACACAGAGATCATGAGGGGCACTAAGAGGAAGTCCTCTCTTCAAATGGTGGCCTAATGTAAGATCAGACCTTGGAAAACAAAGACGGTCACCGCATCGTGCATGTTCAGACCACTTCTTCCGATATTAGGAAGCTTCTGGAGTTATTGAAAACTCATGTCTATAGAGCTGTTTTTTGTGTTTAGTATGCTGTCCTTCCCCCGCACCTCCGATTAGCGCGTTTCATTACGTACGGCGCAAAATAAGTTCGATATACAATTGTGCAACAGCTGAGGGATCAGGTAGAAGGTAGCAAGTGATCTTGAGGTATGGAAGCATCAGTGGGATTGGTCCCCATTACTTCGAGACATTGACCAAAGTTGACGTCCTCTTGGATACATTACTATCACTCGGCTGCAAACTCCGTGGTTATAAACAAAACAAAACTATTTTATTTCACCAGGTCAGGCCCACTGAGCTATATTTTTTTTTCAGAAGCAACCTGGCCACAAATGATATCTCAACGAAGTGGCTTATCGTGTGGAAATGTATAGCAGCAAAATAGGATAGAAGTATGTTTCTAAATGTGGTTGTGAAAAACCGGAGGACCCAGGGAAAAGTCCACGCTAACTTCAAATATACAGGAGTCAGGGTCGGGATCGAACCCACGACCTCCTGCATCCCAGGCGAGGGAGTTAACATCTAGACACGCTGGCCATCGTGGCAAGATGTTGAGAATAATTGTTATATATCGACTGGGAAGGAATCGTTTTTTAAACTTAAGAGATGCAATGTGAGGAGGAGCATGATGGTCAAAGGAATGTATTTCTCTCCCAAACGTTGTCCCTTTTAAACACAATAAGAATTCAATCTTTATTTGAGGCTTTCGTGACTGCAGGAATCCATAATCTTTGGTTCTTTCGGTAAAGTCATGTAGGTATAAAATAAAATAAATCACGACTTTTAAAACAGTCTGCCTCAGCAGCAGACTATGCTTTCCCACCTGATGATGGACGCTTGTGTTGTGCCCCGAAACGTCGTGATTTATGTTATTTTATACCTACGTGACTTTAACAATAAGAATTGACAATGGACTTTTGCGTTCAGGATACAGTAAAAAAAAAACATCCTGGTTTGCTGGACTTGCCCTTTCGGCAGACTGATGCTGGCGAAGTAATGGACGTATTCAATGCAGTATCCCGCCCCGCTTTGGGCTTTTGGCTCAAGGGTCAGAACGCGTGTCCACGGGGTCAGTGAGCACGCCCACTCGCCGCCTTGCTCCCCTGCGTAGGGTCCGGTGTTTTCTTCCGAAGCTCCACGTTCATGTCTTTTTCACTCCATCTCCAAACCCGTCACTTGCATTGCTCCGATCCCTGTGTGTCTCTTGCCTCTTTCACTCTGTCCTTGTGTCAATTGATTTCCTTTTGTACTCCTCTTGTCTGCTTCTCGGAGGGCATCAACACACCTCAGCGGTGAGTCCAGTGCAGCACTGAACGTTGGTCGGCACCCAAAATAACAAGATGAGATATTATTTTCTTCAAATTCGGTAAACAAAAAAACCTGAATATTTCATGAGCCGCCTAATGCGATGTGAACACAAAGACGCTGGGGTCCTTGATAGATGACGTCACGAAGCAGCCCTGAAAGAGCAGCACACGGGTCCCGAGCCACAGGTAGCCGTTTTAATACTTTTTTTTTTATATTTGCTGGTTTATTCCAGGATGTTTCTGTTACGCGTCGTCGCTTTAAGATGTTCTGTGTTCCTATTTTGTTTGTTGCGGTTGCAACCGACTTAAGAGCTGCATGGCTGACAGGGCTATACCAAATAAATGGAAACTTGAAGCCTCGCACAGACCAACACATCAAGAACTACGCACAACTCAGTTTGATCTGCGCTTTCAATGTTGATTTGAAGCTTTCGTGACTGCAGGAATCCATACTCTTTGGTTCTTTCGGCAAAGTCACGTAGGTAGAAATAAAATAAAATAAACCAAATCACGACGTTTCGATCGCAACACAAGCTTTCGTCATCAGGCAATTATATTTTATTTCTAACTACGTGACTTTACCGAAAGAACCAAAGAGTTTGCTTTCAATGTTAAATGTGCTTTGGATAGTTGCGTGGTGTTCTATTTTTCTTCTGAATTTTTAGTTTGTTGCATTTTGCAGCTGGTCAAACCTGTCAGCCTTCCTCCCTATTTGTCCAGCGAGCCGGAGTGTCACAGTGTTCACAATACTGCGTTGTCGTCTGTTGCTGTGAAAGATAACGTTGGAATAAACGGAACTTATTTTTGTGTTTCAGATTCGGAGCCCTATAATTGTCCCATTTGCAACGAAGCGTTCCCCATCCCGCAACTCCTTGAGCATGCACAATTCTGCGATGGATGGAGGAACAAAGAAGAGGGCAAGGCCAAGTCCAAAGGTAGCGTTTTGTTTTTCAAATATCCCCCGTTGCGAATCTGTCATTCGTATACCAGCTGAGTTGAGCTTGCAGTGTTGCCGTAGAGCGCCTTGTGTGTCGGTATTTACTATTTAACAGAATAAATTGCAGACCCCCTGGCTCAAAGAAGGATTAGGTAAAGTTCATCTCGGTTGTGTTCCTAAACCAGTGGGTCAAAACTTCCACAATTGTATGTTAGAAGTCAGTCTCTCCATCGAGTTTCCCAATCTCCATTCCTAATGGCTTATCACTGCACGCCATTTCAAGTTTACCACGTTAAAGTACAAACTACGCACTGCACGTGCCTAACGATTGCTAAGCGCTGAATCGCATTGCATGGAGAGCACACCTTCTTTTGAAACGGCGATGTCCACAGTTCATTTTTAAATGGGTTCTCTCTCCCTTAAATGAGTTTGTACGTGAAGAACGGTCAACATGAAAATGCCCGCCGTGATGGATCACACGGACTGGGATTTAGGAAACCCTTGGATAACAACGACTTGACCTCCCTTTAAAAAAATTAAGTGTAATTCACTTCATTGACCTGACGGGAGTGTGGGCTGAAGTTGACCCCTGATCAGGATATGAACTTCACGACCTTCCGATTGTGAGTCGAGCCCTCGCGCGAAGAGCACCGCTCGGAAGGAAACACGATTGTAGAGTACGTTGCGCTCCTTTCATACCGTACGCAGCCAACGGTGCTGATCGGAGGTGTGGCAAATTAAGGGTGCGTGCGCGGTGGCCTAGCTGTCGAGAGTGCGTGGGTTGCAACTCTACCAGGGCCCGTGGCCCCCACGGACAGATGCAGGTGCCAGGCTACAAAAGAGTGGGGCAAATTTCGATTTAAAGCTTTCGTGACTGCAGGGATTCATCTTCTTGGTTCTTTCGGTAAAGTCACGTAGAAGGGAAGTAATAAAATAATAATAAAAAACAATAAAATATTTTATTATGTTTTATTTTTACTATTTTATTTTAAAACATAATAAAATATTTTATTATGTTTTATTTTTATTATTTTATTACTTCCCTTCTACGTGACTTTCCCAAAAGAACCAAAAAGAAGAGTGGGGCAATTGGGGGGGGGGGGGGGAGGGTGGCGGCCATTTCATTCTTTGCACCAGGGCCAGTGGCAACCACAGCTCCGCCGCTTCAGTGTGCGATTGCGAGCACAGTCACGGGGGATCTTCTAATTGCTGTGAGTTCATCTCCTGGACATCTGTGAGAAAAGGGCTGTATAGTGCATTGAACTCCTCCAGTAAAAATACATATTCTGTTTCTGAACTGATCTGTAGTGTTTTCTATTTGTTGCAGTTGATGAGGAAGAGGAAAAAATCAACAGCCAACGTATACTTGACAGGTATCTTTTTCTCTCGATGTCAGCACAAACTTTTTACAGATAACAATCCGTGTGATATATTAGTCTCAGAAATGTGTCTGCTGAAACTGGTTTCAGCCCAACACTCTCCACCAGACTCATCCTGGTCTCTTGAGTTCTTCGCCACGTAATACAAATGAAACTCGACTTGACTCTCAGGCAACTTGTATCAACTCCCAGTATAGGGATGCCACAAGTGAATGTGCGCATGTAATGTTCATATTTAAGAGCTTGTCTCTTGGATTTTTCCTCACTTGATACAGTAAATTTAGCTGTGACGGTCGCACCTGATGACGGAGACTTGTGTTGCCTCCGAAACGTCGTGATTTATTATTTTATTTATATTATTATTTTATTTTTATTATTTATTTTTACCTACGTGACTTTACCGTAAAAAGCCTAAGAGTATGAATCCTTGCAGTCACGAAAGCTTCAAATCTAGAATTAATGTTCAGAACATCGTCAAGTGACATAATTCCAGGTATGAAATTAAGGATCCTGTATCGGGTTACTTTGGTGAATGCTTAATACATTATCTAGCGAGGAAATGTTTTGTGACTTGTCAAGCTCAATATAGAGACGTTTTGAGGTTTGTATTTTTTGCGGATGTCTACTTTTCGGCGTTGGTAACACTGATTGCGGTTCATTTCTCTCATCAGATTACTACAAAATTGCGTTGACGGCGGTGAAGGTAACACAGCGGGTGCCGTGGCTACAACAGACAATTCTACGGAGTCATCGCTAATTAAAATTTTTACAACAATCAGCAACCTTCTGGGCAAGGACAGCAATTGGACAAAGTGAGCCATAGCGCACACAAGAACACAATAAACAAGAGACAACTCTTTGGCAGTGTGGTTTGAGTGTCCCAAAAATAGTGCATCGTGTTAAGTTGTATGTTTATTAGGGCAGTGCTGGAGCATGCGGCCCATAATCCTGCACTAGATACGAAGATTGTTGCATCAAAGAAATGTTCAGCTCATGCAATCTAGGCCCGCAGCACTGTTGTTTAAGTGCCCAACTCACAATCACAACGGTGCTGAGTTAAAATCCTCGTCGGAGGGCATTCCAGTGAATCGTTTTACTGAGGCCGACAAAATGAGTGGCACTCTGAAGGAAGTCAACAACGTTATTGTGTTGTAGAGAATGCCCTTTGCCACAGTAATGTGGAATTTTCACAACCGGTTTAGGGCCATTGGTCAAGATGAACACCACTCAAACCTCGTGTAAGCACAGCGATAACTTATTTGACCTTTTTATGATATGCAGTAGAATGTTTTGCCTTTAGGGGAATTTATTTAAATATTATTCAGTAGCCTCAAAGCCATCTTAAACAATGGTCTGAGACTGTAAAAATATAACCCAACATGTAACCCTAACCCTCTTCCAAACCTGCAGCGAAATGGAAGAAATGTGGAAGCAATGTGATGGATGCCCCTTCAAGTTTATTGGCAAGATCATGAAACTAAACAATTCCAGTAAAGGCGTGAGTAGCATTGGTCCAAACAGCATTTTTTTTGGCATAGTCAAGTTCGTCATGGGAAAAGTAAGTGTCTTTTTTTTTTATCAAACTATTGTTTATCTCGATTATTGAATAACCATGTACCTGTTTTTCCTATCACTTCAAAGTCTTATCACTCCACACAATTGTTGTGCGTGCTGGCAGGTTACGTTGGTCAAGTAACAGAATGTTTATCTTATCTGACTACAGTGTACTATGTAGCTGCGCCTGAGTGAGTGACTAACATGAATTATAATTTTCAATGAGGGTTACAAAGTGAACCGTTGGTACAGTACTAAAAATTGTCAGGTCTGTAGTTCAAACGTCATCAATATATTTTTTTATTTTGGACCTCTCAAATTTAAGGAGCAAGATTGTTGAACTTTTTTACATTTTAACCCTAGGCCCATGAAGGTCAGCATTTGTATGTTTCCAATTATAGCAAAAGTAACAAAACATCAAGATATAAAATGTAAACACAAGCATCACTGATTTTCAGCCCTTACAAATTAGGAGATAAATACTGTATATTGAACTAATTTTTTTTTACTTAGCCATGCAGATGTTTGTATCTGGAGATTTCGAATGCGCCAAACATTTACTTAACTATTGACTTTTTGAAGCATGCCATACTAAAGCTGATAGAACGTGAGCAAAGTCTGTTTTCAGTGACCGGCATTAAAGACAGTTGTGTCGAAGAACAAGTTCCAGTGGTGTGTTAAAATACCATTATGATGTTTGCGCGTCAAAATATAAAGTAAAATTTGAAAAGATAAATATAAAATATATCTATTTCAAGCAATTTTGATTTGAAGCTTCCGTGACTGCAGTAATCCATACTTTTTGGTTCTTTCGGTAAAGTCACGTAGAGTAGAAAAATAAAATAAAACAAACCACGACGTTTCGGGCGCAACACAAGCGTCCGTCATCAGGTGGGACAACCACAGCAAGAAAAAATTGCTGCAGTGGGCGAGAGAGCTGCCGTGGCAAGAGGTTATATAGGTAAGAAAGGGGGGAGGAGCAAGGGGGGAGAGAGAGAGGGGGTGTGTGGGGTAGGGGGGCGCTGCGTGAGCGCTAGGGGGAGAGAGGACGTGGGAGGGGGGGAAGTGGGCGGGGCTGAAAGTGGGAGGCTGGGAAAGATGTGAATGCGGGGAGAAATTAACTCGGATAAAATTAACCCGTAAAAACAAAGTTTTTCACTATAAATCCTTGATATGCGTGGCATCGGTTTTATTTTATTATTCATTTCTGTTTTTCTTGAGTAAGAGTTTCATTTTAATCACAATGGTATTTTAAATTAAATATGACATTTTCTTTTTCCATAAAAAGTGGAAAATTTTGGATTTTTTTTTCACGAAAATCAATTGTCACGCACAACGAGTCTGTGTGCAAAATGTCAGCTCGATTGGATCACGGGAAGTGGGTTAAAAATCGACCGAAAGATTTGCATGGTCGTAAGCGCGCAAGCAAGCAAGCAAGTGAACTTAACATAAAGGATTTAAAAATAGGGTAGTACCCGGCAGATATGATGGAAACAATCATAAACAGTTAAGGTTTTACCTGGTTAATAACATCCTTCCAATGATTGCTCAATTTGTATCCATCTTCTCGGTTGAAGTTATGCCTATGTTTATATATCTGGATGGCTTATCAAAGGTTTGTTCATGAAGCCATCCAGATATAGAAACATAGGCATAACTTCAACCGAGAAAATTGATACAAATTGAGCAATCATTGGAAGGATGTTATTAACCAGGTAAAACCTTAACTGTTTATGATTGTTTCCATCATATCTGCCGGGTACTACCCTATTTTTAAATCCTTTATGTTAAGTTCACTTGCTTGCTTGCTTGCGCGCTTACGACCATGCAAATCTTTCGGTCGATTTTTAACCCACTTCCCGTGATCCAATCGAGCTGACATTTTGCACACAGACTCGTTGTGCGTGACAATTGATTTTCGTGAAAAAAAAATCCAAAATTTTCCACTTTTTATGGAAAAAGAAAATGTCATATTTAATTTAAAATACCATTGTGATTAAAATGAAACTCTTACTCAAGAAAAACAGAAATGAATAATAAAATAAAACCGATGCCACGCATATCAAGGATTTATAGTGAAAAACTTTGTTTTTACGGGTTAATTTTATCCGAGTTAATTTCTCCCCGCATTCACATCTTTCCCAGCCTCCCACTTTCAGCCCCGCCCACTTCCCCCCCTCCCACGTCCTCTCTCCCCCTAGCGCTCACGCAGCGCCCCCCTACCCCACACACCCCCTCTCTCTCTCCCCCCTTGCTCCTCCCCCCTTTCTTACCTATATAACCTCTTGCCACGGCAGCTCTCTCGCCCACTGCAGCAATTTTTTCTTGCTGTGGTTGTCCCACCTGATGACGGACGCTTGTGTTGCGCCCGAAACGTCGTGATTTGTTTTATTTTATTTCAAGCAATTGCCGTTCATTAACGTTCAACCCGAAAATATTTGCACGAAGCAATAAAAGTGTTTTACATTATTTTTCCTATATGAACAACGTTTTTTTATACGAAGGACACTTTTGTTTTACAGATACAAAACCAGGATGAGCGTCAAACAGTTGTTGTGTATTGCAAAGGACTCTTCATCAAGCAATTATTGCCATGGGTTGAGTCGATCGGGGGATGGGTAAGCCTCAACTCGTCTGTACTGTGGAAGTCACTTCAGCTGTGCACTTTTAAATCATCTACATTGAAAACTAATTTCTTTAGAACTGATTTTTGTGTTTAGTTTGTTGTCCTTTCTCCCGCACCTTCGATGAGTACGGTTGGCTACGTAATGAAAAACATGTGTTTAGATTCATATTCTTGGGTTTTTTCGGTAAAGTCACATAGGTAAAATTTTTTAAATTTAAATTAATTAAAGTAAAATAAAAATAAAATAAAAATCACGACGTTTCGGAGGCAACACAAGCTTCCGTCTTCAGGTGGAACCGTCACAGCACGCTTGCTGTATCAAGTAAATGAGAAATGCTGTGACGGTTCCACCTGAAGACGGAAGCTTGTGTTGTCTCCGAAACGTCGTGATTTTTATTTTATTTTTATTTTACTTTTATTAATTTTTATTTTTTTACCTATGTGACTTTACCGAAAAAACCCAAGAATATTAATCCTTGCAGTGACGAAAGCTTCAAATCTAGAATGTGTTTAGATTATTTGGCTGCTATGGATTTCCACGAAATGGGCTGCCTCGTTGGGCTATAGTTTTTGGCCGGATCTCTTCTGAAGAGGAAGCTAATAGCTCAGTGGGCTTTGCCTGGTAAAATTAAAAGTATGTTTTTTGTCATTTGCTTACCTTTCCTATACTTTGCTCCTCCTATTGTAGTTTTTGTACTGTTTGTTGTTGTCATGTTCTGACTTGGCGACTAGACATCTGTAAAAAAGAGCTTAATAGCTCGTCGGATTTCTCCAGTATAAATAAAGATTCAGATTCTGATGTTGGTTTAAATACACATGACCAACAGCAATTTTAATCATTTATAAAGTCAAAGTGTATCAAATTGCCATGGGTCTGTGCTCATCTCCATTGGCACTCTTGCAAATTGAACTGTCGTGGTCTTTCTGCGTTATCACGTGGTTGGACAAAATGAACTTGATTGGCAGCTCTGAGCCAGTTATAAGAAATTCCCACATTTGTACGTTTGGGAGCCCGTTCGTCAAAAGGGCTGTCAACTGTTGACTCTCCACAGTGGTACTGATGTTATACACTTCCAAGCGATGAGTTGAACCATAATACAACTTTACAATCGTGAGTTGAGCCCACAGAGCCACCCAAAGCTGCATACAAACTACTCCCTGTTTGAGCAAGGCTCGGTGTGTTTATATCTGAAGCGTGCCTGTATCAGAAGTTGCCCTTCGCCTGATGATGCTGGTTGTAATTATTGGCGAAACGTCGTACTCGGATTAAAAATGTTGTGGATTTGCTCTCCAACACACCGGTGTGCTGTACTAGTGACGAATTGGCACGTTCTGTTTACGTAACAAATCTTACTAATTGCTTGTGTCGGGCGGTGGCGGGTTTAATGACACATTTCCGCGATCTAACCTAAAAAAAAAACGACATGTAAGGGATGCACTGCACTTTTATAAGATGTGCTAATAACCAGCTTCAACTGTGCAGGATAATCGCCAGAACACACTGTGTGCAACCAGTGCTACTGACACCACCACGCCTTGCCATTGCTTCCACCATTGGTTCATTAAATTGGTGATCGATCGTTTCAGGATTTCTCACGTCAATGCCAACGTCGTGTTTTGCAGAAAATCTTGCTGATGTGGCTGGTCTTCCTGGTGGCCATTTGTGGAGTGGTGTATTTGGCCTACTTGTCCTACACCAAGTTCAGGGAGTGGCGCCAGGCACGGAACAAGTCTTGAAGTTGCGGCCTACGACGACATGATTATTTCAATCGGACATCATTTATCGAAGCTGCCCGTTTACAGTCACTGGAGGACACTCTATTCAACTGTCCAAACACACATTTAAAAAGAAAAATACCTGAAATATCTTTGGTAACTATTTCTCAGTGTTAAGATTGTTGTATTTCTCGATGCCAAAAACCGAACCATACATATCACAGCTAGCACAAACACGACCATTTAAATACGCGATCTCATACAGTTACCTTGTTATTGACTACTATATTTACCCAAGAATGTCAGTGTGTAACGCGCGTGACGTCACTCCACGCCAGCCCCCCTCATTAATAATCATGAACAGGTGACGTCCTCCATATTGGACCCGCCCGCCATTAATAATAATTAGCAGGTGACGTCACTCCACATGGGGGGGGCGAGGCGTCTCCTCCCCCCTCCTCATCGTCAACTCACAACCCTCACTACAAAGGCAGAACCCTCATGTCACGTGATCTCCGTAACGTTATTGAGACATCAAAGTAAAAAAGGACGTCATGATGAACAAGGGATTATAACCTTTAAAGCAGGCATGTCCAAAGTCCGGCCCGCGGGCCAATCACGGCCCGCGGTCAGATTTCATACGGCCCGCAGCTTCGGTCTTATAATGTGTTATTTATGGCTCGCTAGCTCTGTCAGAATAAATACATCATAAAACTTTAAAGATGTAATTCCTCCTTCCGCCACACAGTGGCAGCACCATTCTAATGCTCTCTGGCTCTGCATCCGTGACGCGAACTAGGCCTCAGCAAGGTAAGGTAAAAGTTAAAAGGTAAAATCAACGAGCCTACCTTTACCCTACCTTTTACCTTACCACAATACAATCACTCTACCCTACCTTTTACCCTTTAGCAGGTAAGGTAACAGGTAAAAGGTAAAAAGCAACGAGCTTACCTTTACCCTACCTTTTACCCTTACCCCATACAAATTACCCGATTACAGGGTAATTACTAGGGAACTACTACACATGAGCAAGGTTTATAACGGTAAATGCTAGGTAGAGCGCTTTAATCATATAGAATACTCTCGATGATTCCAATTTTACACACTTTCTTTTAACTCACTCTGTTATTGTTGTCGTTATTGTTGTTGTTGTATCCTCAAATCTTGAAACTAAATTTTTACCCACTTCCTAATGTGGTATCGACTGCAAACTTGGTATACTTATGTCATACTGATGACAATACTATATTCTATCATAAAAAATCTAATATTTTTGTAACATTATTTTTGACATGTTATGTTTCGGCTTGGGTCTAATTGTCCACGCTCAACTGACGTTGGCTGTAAATCCCCACGGCCCCTTACGCTGTGGAAAGCTTCGGGGCCACTTCCTGGAGTCGTGGAGTTCTTTCATTACTTGTACATTTCATAAAAGCGTGTTTTTAATAAAGTTTGTTTTAATATTACTTATTAAATGGAGGCCACGGACTGCACGACGGAGCTTTTAGAGGTAAACAAGGTACTGTATTTACCGGGTAATACTTTGCACTATCTTTACCCTACCGGGTAATTCTTCCAAGCTACCTTTACCCTACCCTTTACCTTACCCCTTGGCATGTCGACATCTTTACCCTTTACCCTTTTACCCGGTAAAAAGGGTAAATTACCTTACCTTGCCGAGGCCTACCGCGAACCCTTCTCGAATCATTTCTGCCATGGCGACTGCAAAAAAAAAGAGAAAAGTTGATAGTGAGGGCCGCCGCTTTCAGGAGCGGTGGGAATTACAATACTTCTTCATTGGAAATTGAGGAAATTGTGTTTGTCTAATTTGTAAAGAGACCGATGCCTTGTTTAAGGTTTTCAACGTAAAGAGACACTACGAGACTAAACATGCTACAACATACGACAAGCTAACAGGGAGTGACCGCGCTGACAAAGTTAAGCAACTCCAAGCTGCTCTGGCATCGCAACAGCGATTCTTCACGCGGGCCTGTGAGTCAAAGGAAAACATCACCAAAGCCAGCTACGAAGTGGCCATGTTAATAGCTAAACATAGCAAACCTTTTACTGAAGGTGCGTTTATCAAAGACTGTCATGAAAATGGTGGAGAACATTTTCCCCGAGAAGAAGCAAGAATTTATGAATGTTTTCCTGGCACGCAACACTGTGGCACGGAGAGTTGAGGACATATCGTCAGATATTCAGAGACAACTGGGGGACAGGGGAGTGGCTTTTTATTATTTCTCATCAGCCTGCGATGAAAGCACCAATGCATCTGACACTGCACAACTACTTACTTTTTTTAAGAGGAGTTGATGAAAACATGAACCTGACAGAGGAGCTGCTTGACCTCAAAAGCCTTAAAGCTGTTGATGATATGAAACTACCATGGAGTAAAGTTTCTGGGATCATTACCGATGGTGCGCCTGCCATGGCTGGTGAGCGAAGTGGATTGTCCACACTGATCTGCAATAAAGTCAGCGAAGAAGCAGGCAATGCTATTAAACTTCACTGTATCATTCACCAGCAGGCTCTCTGCGCCAAACATCTCAAATTTGACGATGTTATGAAACCAGTGGCAAAGGCAATCAATTCTATTCGCTCTAAAGCTCTATACCACCGACAGTTTCAGCAGTTCTTGGGTGACATCCAGGCTGAATACGGTGACGTAATATATCACAACGATGTGAGGTGGCTAAGTCGGGGGTCCGCACTGCAGCGATTTTTCTCTCTCAAAAGGGAAATTGGACATTTTTTGGGTGAGAAGAGACAACCAATGGAAGAACTGTCCGATCCTGTATGGCTGGCAAATCTGGATTTTTTTGGTTGACATAACGAAGCATCTGAATGCGCTGAATGGATGCAATGGATATTACGTCGCGGTCTGCTTTTCGCTTGCAAGTTTCAGATTTACTGAAATACACCCGTCAATTGGACGGGCAAAAGGCTCGTAAATGATAACAAAAAAAGGTTGAGAAACGCAGAGCTCAATGAAATGTCAGTGTCGTGCCTGTGAGCCAAGTTCACATCACTGAACATATAAAATTTTGACTTAAAACTTTCGTGACTGCAGGAATTCATATTCTTGGTTCTTTCGGTAAAGTCACGTAAATAGAAAAAAAAATAGGGATTTTTTTTTCTTCTATTTGCTCCGATTTTTCCCTCTCCGTTTATAAACATGCGTTTAGAGTATTTGGCTACGATAAAGTTGCACGTGATAAGCCACTTCGTTGAGCTATCATTTGTGGTCAGGTCGCTTCTGAAAAAGAGCTATACAACTCAGTGGCCCTTATCTGGTAAAATTAAAAAAATCTTTCTCGCCATGCTCGTTATGAATGTTTTCATATCTGTAAATGTATTCACATTTTCTTCTTTGAAATGTATTTACATGTTCACATTGATCTCATTCATATGTAACTCCCTTAACCAAATCACATTTCGCTCATCTAATTCATTAATAGTTTAACTCGTTTAACATTTAATTCATTAAACTCAATACTCATTCAACTAAAAGAGTTGGAGCCGCCCCTGTGGAAAATAAATCTGCCAGACGGGAGGTGATGGCGTGGCATTTACGAAAATAGGAAATTAAACATTTTGTACATGATATTGAACCAATCGAGAACTACCGTAATTGTTTTTGGTTTAAGTTAAAGTTTTCCTGATATGTTTTTTTTTTGCCCGCGTGGTTATATAAACTTATGTGTTCGTCATATCATATCATTGTCCGGTGCAACATTACTTGTAACACGCTTCTTTGTATGAAGGAAATAATTGAAATATTTATAGATGACAAAAGTTTTAATAAATCTAGTTCACTTGAAAATTAACGATATGTACATCATTAGAGACAAATCCATTTGCATGTGTAGTGACATATATATGGTCACTACGTAGCATAGCGCTGGCTGCTGGCAGGGAAGGGGATCTGCAGCTTGAGGCAGCCCTGACTGACAGCAGGCCACGTGACAGACCCGAGAGGGATCTAGGGTAAAGGTTACGGAAGGGACACATCGAGAGCCCACTAGTAGGTTCCAGAAGGGGGGCGTGTCCAGGGCGGAGCGAGGCCACGCTGGAAGTATAAAAGGGGACCCCGAGCAGGAGCACGGGGCTGTCGTTTGGAGTGGGATCCCCGTCGTCGTCGTTGCTGAAGATCGTCGCCATCACCGCTGTTGTCTCGTGCCTTCGTCGCTGTTGTCTCATCTGATATATTGCGCTGCTAGACGTAGGTGGCTGTCTTAGTTCAGCGCCGTCAATGTCAGACGGCTAGCGTTGTGTTGTAGGCTAGTAACCAGTGGAGAGTTGCGTACATGATATTGAATCATTTGTGGCCAGGCCGCTTCTGAATAAGGGCTTAATAGCTCAGTGGGCCTTACCTGGCCAAATAAAAAAAATATGTTTTGAATAGTTTTTTGAAATGTATGCAACTTCCCTTTGTGCACAATGGCGGCGGAGAGTATATTCGACAGCTGCGAAGCTGATTACATCATTCATGAGCAGAGAGTTCAGATGTTCCAATCAGCCTTTAGCTCGGAGTGAAAAACCAGACTACTGAGCGCTTGGCCACACCGAGACAATGTGTTATATCTGGAAGAAAAAAACACATTTGTTTTCGCTGCACAGAAAATATGTTCGCTTTGACTCCCTGAAGACTAGGCGACACATATATAAGTAAAATAAAAGTATTTATAATAATAGGTTTTTTACCCTTTTATCTGGCACAAAACTGACACCTTTTGCAAGGGATCATGTTTGTGTAGTGACATAAGAAGGGAGGGGCTGCTGTAGGCTCTGGGTTCCCAGGTGGGTCCAGACGCGTAATCCCCTGGGCGCCAGGCGCTGGGTTCCCAGGAGGTCCAGACGCTTAAGCCTCTGGGCGCCGCCAACGGGGGGGGCTGTGTGTGCTCTGTGGGATGTCTGGTGGCGCACACGGCCCCACCCCTCGTTGGGGACTGGGCATATAAGCGGAGCTCCCTGGACGATCGGGGCCAGTTGTAACTCAAGACCCAAGACCCACGACCAGCCATCTGAAGACCCTGGGATGCTGCGAGAGCCAGCGCTGGGACTCTGGAACTCCCGACGCTACGACCTTGTGAGGGCGAGTTCCGGAGCGTAGCCAGAGTAGAGTATCTAGGCTGTGTAGCTAGGCTGTGTACCTAAGCTGTAGCAGAGTACCAGGACTGTTGGAGTGTTGTGTTGTAATAAAGAAGTTACCTCTACAAGTGTCTCCGGAACCCGTTACATTTGGTGTTAGAAGTGGCTATGGAGACAAGAAGTAAGCCACGTACCTTCAGTCCTGACGGCGATGAAGAGGAGCAGGCAGCGATGGGGCGGCCAACGCCGGCCGACAGCGACGCTGCACCGCCGGCCGACAACAACGCCGCACCGCCGGCTGAGCAGCTGTCTGCTCCGCCGACCGTCCCCTCTCCAGCGTCGGGAGCAGAGATGGAGGAGGCGCTGCTTCGCCTCGCAGAGCTGCTCTGCGCCACCGCCTCCCTCCTGGGCGAGCTGCGGTGCTCGCGGCCGATGGCGGGAGGGAGAGAGGCGGCGCGGCGCTCGCCCGAGCCCGCCGCCGCCATTCCCCCCACGGATGTGAGAGATACTTCCGGGTGTGTCGTCACTTCCACCAGAGGAGCAGTGACCTCTGGGAGCGACGTCACTTCCGGGCCCAGCGTGTGCCAACCCGACGACGCCGCGTCATCAGCGCTGCGTCCCTCACCGCCGGGTGACAGCTGTTGGAAACCTAGCACAGCGCGTCATCAGCGCTGCGACCGGACAGTGAGGGCGCCATTCTTACTGTAACTGGCGCCGGGGCCGGCACATGGACCGACTCGCTGCTCGCCGCCTTTGCTGCTCTGGCCAAAGGTTGGAGGTCGGGAGACCAGGCCCCTGACACTTCGTACATTTTACGCGCTCCGGATTAATGATTTTTTTGTTGATATTTTCTTCGTTGTCGTCGGGGAGTCGTGACTGTTGTTGGGTAAACTGTGTGGAGCTTCGCCCGTGAGTGTTGTCAATGTGTGTGCGAAACTTTGCTTGTGATTGTTAACAATGTATGGTTTATATTGAGCTTTGTTCGTGATTGTTAATGTATAGCTTGTGCTGTCATTGTTAACGATGTATATACTGTATGGGGCATTTATCTTGAGATGGTGACATGCTGCCAAGGATTTGGAATTGTCATGCTGGCTCTCAAATATCTTGGGGTGCAGATCCTGACCAGGATGGCCCAGCGGGTGTTGCGTGTCTAACACGAGAGTTGTGGTCCCGTCATGCTATGGCTGACGGCTTGACCTGACAGCCCGGAGATAGAGACACTCCGTGGCATGTCTAGCCTAGTGGGCTGTGTGCTCACATGGCTCGGAGAGTGTGGTCCCGTCATGCTATGGCTGACGGCTTGACCTGACAGCCCGGAGATAGACACTCCGTGGCATGTCTAGCCTAATGGGCTGTGTGCTCACATGGCTCGGAGAGTGTGGTCCCGTCATGCTATGGCTGACGGCTTGACCTGACAGCCCGGAGATTGAAACACTCCGTGGCATGTCTAGCCTAGTGGGCTGTGTGCTCACATGGCTCGGAGAGTGTGGTCCCGTCATGGAATAGCTGACGGCTTGACCTGACGGCCCGGAGGTTGAGACCCTCCGTGGTACGTCTGGAGCAGTAGGCTCACCCTGACGGCCCGGAGATTGAAACACTCCGAGGCGCGTTGAAACAGTGGGCTGGAGATTCGTGGTGTTCAGGGGTAGTTGTCCCGTTACGTTGGGACTGTATCCCTCAGTTGTTAGGGTGCATGTTGTGCAGGGAGTGAACAATGGGTCGTCTCCGATCGGTCGGTACAGCTATATGCTGCGATGCGAGTCTTGGAGAGAGATTGGGTCTCAGATCGGTCGGTACAGCTATATGCTGCGATGCGAGTCTTGGAGAGAGGTTGGGTCTCAGATCGGTCGGTACAGCTATATGCTGCGATGCGAGTCTTGGAGAGAGACTGGGTTGAAGTCCCCCCCGATATGGCCGACGTGCGCGGTTTTAGGATGGAGACGCCCTGTTGGAAAGGCGGGGGGTGCAAACGGTTGACATGTAATGTGGGTGGTGGTCCTCATTGAGGGCTGCTGGGACGCAAGCACGGGATGCCTTTTGGAGATGCGGTTCATGCGTGCGGCCACCATTTATGGACAGGAACAGGCAGATTTATTTTGTTTGTGTCATGTAAATTTCATATATATATTTTTAAAATGTAGATACTGGAGCAGCCCTGAAGTGCGACTTCTTTGCCCAGTACATGGGTCGGCCCTGAAGTACGACTTCTCGACCCGGGACGTAGACAGACGTCCGGATAAGTGCGTGTAGAGGGATGCTCGACATGTTGGTCTTCGCCTTCTCTCCACCTGACGGATGGGAGGCTGGCAGGGTGGTGTGGATCCCTGCCATCCATGCGGTGATTATGTGATTTCGGTTCGATTACCGGTGTTGGTTGTGCATCCAACGCGTCGGAATCTGTATATTTGTTGTTGTTAATTCCCCGTTTTCTATGCGGATCCCGAGGAGGGCTAGGTGTGCCGCGGGTCGTTTGTTCACGTGTCATTGCTTCACTTTTTTGTTGATTGATGCTTGTATATAGTGTAGAGTTGTACAGGTTGGTTAGGGTATTTATGGTTGCTTTCTTGTTCTCTTTTCTTTTCCTGTTGAAGCTCGCGTATTTTTTTTTCTTCTCTCTCTCCCTTTCGTTAATTTAAACTTTCTAATTATTGACAGCCAGGACGGCTGGAGGCTACATAGAGGAGGGTAATGTAGTGACATAAGAAGGGAGGGGCTGCTGTAGGCTCTGGGTTCCCAGGTGGGTCCAGACGCGTAATCCCCTGGGCGCCAGGCGCTGGGTTCCCAGGAGGTCCAGACGCTTAAGCCTCTGGGCGCCGCCAACGGGGGGGGCTGTGTGTGCTCTGTGGGATGTCTGGTGGCGCACACGGCCCCACCCCTCGTTGGGGACTGGGCATATAAGCGGAGCTCCCTGGACGATCGGGGCCAGTTGTAACTCAAGACCCAAGACCCACGACCAGCCATCTGAAGACCCTGGGATGCTGCGAGAGCCAGCGCTGGGACTCTGGAACTCCCGACGCTACGACCTTGTGAGGGCGAGTTCCGGAGCGTAGCCAGAGTAGAGTATCTAGGCTGTGTAGCTAGGCTGTGTACCTAAGCTGTAGCAGAGTACCAGGACTGTTGGAGTGTTGTGTTGTAATAAAGAAGTTACCTCTACAAGTGTCTCCGGAACCCGTTACATTTGCATTAACCTCAATACCTGCGGTCAAAATGCAAACAAAAAACAGCACTCTGATAATGTATGCATTGTCCTTGAAATTGATTGGTCCACACCAGAGACAGCTTTTGTGTTCACTACATCTTTAGCTTGTTGATTTGTTGAACAAACATGTATGAGACATAGTACTCGATTCTTCCTGCTGAAACGGATGATCGTCGTCATAAAAGCAAAACATTGTCGAGTTTAGAGAAGCAGGACATGAAGTATGTGTTTTTGTGTTTACGGATATTTTGAAAGACAAATGACGTTGCTTTATAGAAATTAAAATAAAATCTAAAGTTGGAGGGTGTGTCTTATATTTCGTAGGTGTGTGAGAGAGAGAGATCAGATGTGTACTTTCTTTTTAAAACGGGAACAAGTGTTGAGTGCGTCTTGCTTTGTGGAGCGCCTTGTCGTCTGGACGG